TTTTTTTTTTTTGGAAACAAATTCCACAATAATTATGAATAATGAAGATTTTAAACAATGGAAGTATTAATGGAATGTACAAGACCAAAATTTTTTGTTTCTGTAAAAAAATTGCTTGCTGTGGTCTTTTTCACGAATTAGCATTTCAGACAGATCAACAACATTTATTTGTTTATTTATTTGTTTGTTCTCTTTTTTTCTTTTACTTTTGCAACAATTGTTCTTTTAAAAAAATTTTGTGACTTTTGTTTCCCATTGCTTTTTCTGTTTGCAGTTTTATTGTTGACCAGTGTTTGAAAAAAAATAGAAAGACGAAGGATGATGAAAAATATGGAAGACAAAAATAAAGTAAGAGCGAATCGAAAGGAATTGTAAAGAAAGCGGGAAAGAGACGTAATATGATGTTGATAGTTGATACGTTTCTTTCTTTGGGGAGGAAGAATGGGACAAAGGAAACAGTTTTAGTGTGATACCAAAGTCAATAATGTATTTCGGAAAGGTATCAGTATTTGCTTTTTTTCACTACTTCATGGGTTTTGTTTCTTGACATACCTTTTAAGCAATTGCTTAAGCGAGCAAAAGTTATGTTAAACATGGATCCTTTAGTGTTAACCGACCGGTTAGACTGCCATTTCTGTTTGTGAGCTTGTTTGTCATATAAAGTTTTTTTTTTTTTTTTGCGTTAAAACTGATATGTAATTAATTTTTCTAGTGCTACTGCTGCCATATTTTACTATTTAAAAGAAAGAGCAAAAAAAGGTAAGGCAGTCATTTAGCTAAAAAAAAAAATTATTGGATTTTTTATTAGTTTATATGTACTATGTAAGACACGATTACCTGCTGATTCAAATAGTCAGCATTTGATAGGTTTTTATTAAGCCGCACAGCAGTGAAATCATCACTGTTTTTTTTTCGTTTATCAAAAATGAAAAAAAACAGTTATAAGATAAAATTGACTTTTTCATTTTATTTTATACCAGTCTTTTACTGTCAAAACATAAATCTGCCGAGCATTTTATTCTTTTGGACTGCTATTTTACCTGCCACTACAAATGGCATTGTTGCTCTTGTTGTATTTTCTCTGCCACATAAATATTGACATATTACTTCATAACTTTTTTACAAGATTATTTCAACAGTGATGGATTGCAAAAAGAGATGGAATTGAAAGGCAAGAAAAAGAAGGAGCTTTACTATACATATTTGTAACAGTTAGTAAATATGGGAGGGTGTAGAAACAGGACAAAAAATAAAACACGCTTGTTGAATAATGCTATTTGAAAATTCGTCTGAAACTGAAGTGTTCAACAAATTGTTTTGTCGCCATGCGAAAACAAAAAAAAATTTTCTCTTAACAGCTTAAATTGCTATCCCTTTTATCTTTGCAGATTCTTGTATTATATTGCAAAAGAAGACGTAAATGACGACGAAGAAGAAGATGACGGCGATGACAACGACGTTTGTTAATCATTGATCTCTGTCTGTGATTGTCTTAAAACAGTTGTTTGTTGTTCCTACTATTCCTTTTTACCGTATCATGTGAAGCCAAAAAAAAAAATGAAATACAAATTGTAGTTTTAATAGCCATATACTTTATGAAACTACCTTCTTTTAAGGTCAAAATTAGTTTAGTTTGTTGGCCACTTGAGCAACAATTTTAAGCAACTGTGTTTTTTTATGCTTTTTTTGGTGGGGGGAGGAGGGAGGAGGGAAAGCAGTAGTTAAAAAGATGGTTAGAGCAAAAGATTTTCTAATTTTTTTAAAAAAATACTTGTTGTTTGCGAGGACAACTGTGGTTAAGTGGTTACTAAACGTATGTTATAAGACAGATTGCTGTCATCGTCTAAATTTTCGTTGTCAGTGTTATGTTCAGTTTCTTCTGCGTTCAATTTTATCCACAAATTTTTCAATTAATTCTGTTTTTTTCCTTTTTTTTTTTTCTGTCAATGTTTTTCTGTAATTTGTGTAGTTGGTTGTCAGTTAAGGGAGGAAAGACAAATGTAAATGAACATATAAATCTAAAAGATTATGTTGTTAAGTGATAGTGACATTGAAGATGTTTAGCGCGTTGTTTATTTGTTGATTTGCAATTATCTAAAAGAAAATACTTGTAGTAATAATAATGTTAGTGATGATATTGTTGAAGATACTGATGATGACACCGAAAGCTGGTAAAAACGCTTCGGTTTGTAAGATATGTTATGATACCAGCGATGGATTCCATTTTGGAACATTGGCATGTCGTGCCTGTGCAGCATTTTTTCGTCGTTCAACAGTAGCAAAACGGCATTATGTTTGCCGGTATAATGATATGTGCAAAATTGAACGAGGTATGTTCTTCTCAGTTTCATAAATTTTAATCAGCAATAATTAATGCTTATTTGTATTGTTAATACTGTTAATACTGTCGGTATTTATTCAATTTTCCACTTTATTTTTATATTGGAACTGATATGATCAATCTTTGCCACTGTTGTTCCTAAGATTACCGTTACTACTATTTCTTTTTCTCCTTCTCCTTCTTTCATCTCTTTTTTTTTCTTTTTTTCTGGACAAAAATTAGAGTCCAATAAAAATCTAAGTTATTTTTAGATAATAATTTTTTTTGATTCTTTATTTATTTGCTGCTAATTTCTATCACGTGAGACTTGAGAGAATGTATTGTTTGAATCAGTGAATCAAAAATATTTTAAAGGTGATATTTTTGACGGTTAGAAGAAAAAAGTAACCTTTTTTTGCCTTTATTATTATTTTTTTTTGTATGTATATTTATATATTTGTTGCACAGATATACAAAATTGATAAA